ACGAATGTTCACGGGGTAGAAGATGGTATAACTGCTTATTTTTCGTTTGGAGAAACTGAGTGAGACTGAGAGAGGTCATTTTGCCTTGGTCACTAGATAACATGAAAGTATACAGGTATGTGAACCAGCAGCCTGGAGACAGGGAAATGAAGTTCTCGTGTGAGGCTTGGGCGTGCATTAAGAAGGCTAGGCAGGAGTGGGGTAGGGGTGGGGTTTAGGACAAGCTACAGAGATAAAGGGGTGCAATGTCTCAGCAAGGTCCCAAGTATCTGCTGTGGAGTCCCTGCCATATCCCCGAGACTCTGAGAACACCTCTCAGTACAGACAAGGAAACGAAGCCCGGAGAGAGGCAGGGACCTGAAGCACAGATTCGCCCCGGGTCACACAGCCAATGGTGGTAAGCTCAGAACTCAGACATGGGTCTCTCCACTCCCAGCCTGAACCATCTCCTGCGCCCCAGTATGAATATCTAGACGTAGATCATGCAATCCAGAGGGTGCTGGGTAGAGGTAGGGCAGGCCCTTCTGTCAGTAGCTGTGGTACGAGGCCAGTGGTTATTATCCCTCTTATCCCCAAGCCCACTGCATCCTCCTGCAAACACCTGAGTTCTGTAGTAACGGGATGGGAAAAGCTCGCTTGGACGAGTCTGCTCCTTGGGGATTCTTATTTGGTGCCCTCTGTCTACCTCTGGCCTCTTTAATCAGGGGTGGAACAGGAGCCCACGCATGAGAGTTGGGCCCTGGGGACCAACTCTAGCTGAGTTGACAGAAAAGGCAGCAGCAGCAGGTACCAAGCTTCAGAAAGGCTTAGACATACAGGACCCTTAGAGCTTAGACTCTCCCAGCTTTTACCCCCTGGTCCCAAGAATGTTAACAGGACACTTGACTGGGGGGGAGATTTCATCACACCCCCCATACCTTCCTCCCTACACATTTGAGTAGGGTCTTCTCAACGGCACAACTCCTGGTGTTCTATAATGTTTGACCTGTTTTCTTTCTTTCTTTCTTTGTTCAGCAATGTGTGATGCCACCAGAAGGATCTCCAACAGATCCACCACCAATTACATTCCCTTTGGAGCTTGAGGCCCCACCCACCGAAGGGGTGGGATGGGCAGAAGAGCCCTGAACTCACTGTCAAGGGGTCTTGCATTCATTTTCCCCCAGACGGATCTCCCAAGGCAAGATCTTCTCAGCAAGGGCGAACACCCTGCTAAAGTTTGGCCATCCGACCTGGTATCTCCCATCTGTCTGTCTGTCTGTCTGTCTGTCTGTGGGATCAACAGCCTCCAGCCAGCTCAGCTCCTCACCAGCGCTGCCCGCCCCAGCCAGCTGTAATTCCTGCCTGTTACAAGTGTTAACACCTGGCCTGGGGCCTTCCTCCCCCGCAGACTCCAGGTGCCTCCCTGGGCCCAGCCTACTGACCCCCACTGGGGTTTGACTGAACACGTTCCCAAGCCTTTGAGAGACTCGGCTGTCGGCTGTCGGGTGGGCGTTTAGCAGTGGAGAGGCAGCAGCAGGATGTGACACATGGAGAAACTGAGGCACCGCTTAAGACAGGCCCTTGAGTGGAGGATGGGCTCTGGGGTGTCCAAACAGGCTCGGAGACCTCAGCAAAACATTTTCCCTAAATTGAAAGGTTGGGTGGGCTGGTGGCCCCAGATAAAAAGTGAGAAAAGGGGCCCAGAAAGGGGAGGGGTCAGTGTCCTTCAGTCACATTGTGAGATAAGCTGCCAAATATCACTCAGCCAAGCAGGCCACTTTTATCAGGGCATCTCCTGTGGAACGCAGGTGACACAGGGCAAGGCCCTAGGAAGATACTTCTCCTCAAGAAAGAGGAGAGATTTCTCTGTCAGGAGCTAACCGGTACTATCGCCGAGAGTTCCAGAAATCACGCTTGCTGTCACTAGTTCTGTCCCAAAGCAGCCACTACCTGCCTGGAAGGCTCTGGTGCCCCTCAGAGCCCCTTCCTCATCTGCCTTCTCTTAGTGTTGGAGCCCAAGCGAGGAAGAGCAGGGACAGGCTACTGGGAGTGGGGGCCCTTTCTTGAGGAGAAATCCCAGCTAAACGATTTCCCCTGTCAATCCCTCCTGGGGAATGTGTGAGCTGGGTGGGCCAAGGAGGGCAGGCAGTGATGGACTCAAATGCTAACAGGACTGGAATCTGCTTGCCCCGGGGGCAGAGGGGAGAAATCAAGAATTTGAGGCCTACCCACTCTCCAGCAGGGAGAAGGTGATTCATGCCCCATCCCAGCTCCAAGACCAAAGGGAAAGGACCTCAGAGGAGGGAGGGGCTGTGGCCACAGTCCTCGGGCAGACAAGGCATGATGCTGGTGCCAAGGAAGGCCCTGCCCTGCCCCAGCTGGGGTCCCAGGCCAATCGTGTCTGCAGCCACCTTCTGAGACCTCCACTTCCTGCCCGTCTTTCTCCTCAGTGCGATGGATGTCCACCAAGCAACCCTCTCAGGTGTCGGCAAACATGGCCACAGACACAGAGCCACTGGTACAAGACTGTGTCACTGGCCCTTGGGGACAAGGTCCGAAGCAGGCGTAGACACAGCCCCCACTCTCTAGACACAAGGCCCACTCTCCTACCTTCAACCACAAGCAGGTCATGCCACGAACACCGATCCTGTGCACAAAGACGTTTGTTGGGCCTTCCCCACTCACGCTGTCAGAAAGACACGCGCGTGTGCAGGAGCAGAGCACACACAGACCCGTGCACAGACAGCACATGGGTCCAGACACAACTATCGCCATGTCCAGCACCACCAGCGAAAGCCAGGTGGTCTGCCTTACGCAAGCAAAGATACCGACAGACTTCTGTCTCACATCACAGAGATGGCCACTTGCTGGTGCTTGCATGCAGGCACAGCACAGCCCGCCGTGGGCCAGGGCTCCCCCAGGAGTCCCGCAAGACTTACACGCACAGTTGCCTGGGCCTCAGGCACGAACTTCTACCCACAGAGACACGCTGGTACACAGACACACTTTGTAGGGTCACAGACCCAGGACGCACACTGCACCATACATACAGAGGCAGCCACAGGCACTGACAAACCATCTCCAAAATACCCACACACTCTCTCTATGGCTCAGACAAAGCAGCCACTTGGTACCCCCTCGACCCCCAAACAGACCAGGAGTATAGCGTTATCTCAGAGCCTGCCTCGGCCTTCCAGGTTTTCCTAATGTTGCCTCTTGTTGGCCCGTGACCCCATCTAGGCATTCCTGGACAACATTATACCCAGACCCCAGTGCCACCACCATTGAACCCACTGATCCCGCCCCAGGAAGTGCTCTCTTCCAGTTTCCAGAACTAGGAAACCCACTCTCCTCTTTCACCTATGGCATCCCTAGGGTGCCAGGCATCTCTTCCTATGCACCCCCAGGCTCCCCAAGAGGGCAGAGCATTGCAGGGATGGAAAGAGAGACAGGAGGCGACCTTTCTCCAAGTGGCAGAACCCCACCCTGGAATCTCTGGCTGCCCCCCCCCCCCACATACACGGGCTCTGTACATGCACATGGGAGGTCTCAGACCAGCCCAAGTCCGCAGGAAAGGATGACTGTATGTTTGTTCTTGGGATAGCTACCCAAGGAGAGACTCCTTTCAACAAACCCTTGGCCAGGCCATAGCTTGGGTGTTTGGGTTCATGACTTCCCCTCCCCTGGCCTCCAGATATTCCCAAAGCAGCTGGAAGAAGGCTTGGGGTGTGGCTCTGAGCCTCGCACTGCAGGCTTCCAGGTAGCAGGCGAGAAGGGGACAGGCAGGCAGTGTTTCACCCCAGTGGCGTTTCTCTCTAACTTTCACCCCCGGGGTCAGTCTCCTTCTCACCCCCAGGTCCTCCTCCTCCTCCTCCTCACCTCCCACCCCCTGGCCGCTAGCTGTCCAGGAGGGGAGGGTTCTTTTTATTAAAGTTTTCCGGAATGCAAGGGGCTGGAGACGGGAAGAGCTGGGGTGTAATTTAGAAAACTGGTTTTAGTGTCTTCCCTGTAGAACCTGCAGAGGGGGGGAGCAGCCATGGGGCTCAGAAAACAGGGGAATCCCTGGAGCTGGGGCTCCCAAAAGGCTGTTAATCTTCAGAGAGTCTCCTCACACACCCACCGGCCCGAGGTACTCCGCCTGCTCTCCCAGCCTTATTTATTTAAAAAGAAAAAAAAAATGCCTTTTGTATCTGTATTTCTCAGGGACAGAATTGCCCCTTTCTCCTCGATTCTCCGTCTTCCAAAAGCAACGAATTTGACATGGAGAACTGCGTTTTTGCTCGAAAAAAAAAAAAAAAAAAAGCCTAACCCTCCCCAACAACTACATTTTCAAAGAGCCCCCCACCCCTATTCTCCGGGATGCTCGAGCAAGGAACGAATACGGCCGGATCAGCAACGGCATCTAGGGTTTATATTCTATATTCCCTTCAGAGGCTCAAATTCAATCTAGAGCAGAGTGGGGGAGAATCCGATGAAATGCCCCCTCAAGTCCCCTGCCTGGGACCCCCAAAGCCCTTCGGATCTGAAATATGAAGGCAAAAGCGAGTATTGTGGGGAGGGAAAAAAAAAATCTCTTGACCGAGACACCGAAGAGGTGGGGTGGCGAAGAAGGACAGGATAATTTTGCCCATGGAGACCCTAAAATGGAGAAGAGGAGTGGCCGGGCCCGCGGGGACAGCACACAGATCCAACTGTAAGCAAACGAAGGGTCTTCGGGACCCCCAGATAGGAGCGGGAGAGGGCGAGGACTAAGAATGGGAGCCCTTCTGGGGCGGAAAGAGCCCTCCCGCCTCTGCGGCGGGTAGCAGGGAAAATGGTGATGATCCGAGGCACCAGGAGTTGGATCGGGAAAGCGACATCGGCAGAAGATCCAGAAGGGGTGGACGGCTGGGGGACTGGAGGAAAGCAAGGAGAAAGGAGCCCCGCAGGCCTGCCGCAGCCCGGACCCGGCCAGCGGCCCCCACCGGAGCCGGGCGCGGCCGAGAGATCGGGCCCGCGGGCAGACAAGAGGCAAGTCTTACCACCAAATTGGGTAGCCGGCGAGGACCCTGGTGCCACTGAGCAGGAGGCCGAGGAGCAGCCCGAGCAGGTGGGGCTCCATTAGAAGCGGCGCCGAGGAGGAAGTTTGCCGGCGACCATGAAGAGGGGGAGCGACGCCCCCAATAGTTGGAACAAAGTCCACTTGAGGTTGGAAATGACTTTCGGGCTCGTCAGAGGCGCACCTCCACCCGCAGCCGCCCCCCTCCGGAGCCCAGCGCCGAGCAGCCGGGTTTGAGGATGTCAGCGAGCAGCCAATCAGCGCCCGCGGCCTAAGGTAAGAGATGAGTCTGTAGTTCAGCCTGTCAATCACGCGCCCCTCCCGCCCGGCCCACAACTCCGGCTCTGGGAAGGGCATCTCCCGGCAAACTTGGGCAAAGCCTGCGCCCCGGGCGCACGGAGGCCTCGGGAGGACCCGGCACTCTGGCTTCTCTGCTGGCCTGGGACACCCCCTCCCCAGCCCGCGCCAGCCAGGGTTAGGGAGCTGCAGCTTTGACCCGGCGTTCACTCGGTGAAAGGGTCGGCTTGGGGGACTGATGGGTGGCTCCCCGCTCCTGTCTGGGAACAGTGGTCCCTTGGGACTTGGGCCCCGTAAGGAACTGAGCCTGGAAAGCCAAGGCGGGTGTTTCCAGATCGACGCGGCCGGCTGCAGGGGCTTGGGAAAGGCAACCCCTCCCCGTCCCCAGCCTCTCCGAGCCTGCGAGCTGGCGGCCCCGCCACCCGGCCGTGGGTCGCCTCCAGGGTGTCCGAGGGGCGCGCGGGAGAATCCGCGGAGGCTCGAAGGTCGGCCGGCCGGCGGCGCCGGGGGACGGGGCTAGTGTCATTGGAGTCTTTTGTCATGAGTCAGATTGGTATCGGGACCTCCTGCAGCCTTTGCATTTCCTGCAACTGACACCAGCTGCCGTTTGCATTTCCTGCGGGAGGACTCACTTTCTCCTCCCGCGGGCACGCAGGCCGGACCCCGCCGGTACCTGCAGTCTCGTTTGGATCTTGGGGTGGAACCATTTGGGACCAGTGAGCCGTGGTATAGCTCTGGCCAGTTGGGGGGGGGGGGGGACATCCGCTCTTCCCTTGCCCAGGTTTTCCGACCTATTCCCGGCCCTTCTGAGGATGAGAAACCGGAACTTTGGGGGTTCAAGCGTTGTCCCGTGCAGACGCCAGAATCACCCTGCGACCCACTGTAGCCCACACGCAGGGGGAAGCGTCCAGGCCCCGAAGGGACACTCTTTCCAATTCTCCTGCAGAGAATCGGACTCCTCCTGGGAGTCAGGTCTCAGCCCTACTGGTGCCGAGATTACGCCTAGATGGTTAGGATTCAGTCTCCTCACCTCGGTACCTTGTCCTCAACTTCTCTCCCGGGCCACAGAAGACCCTGAGCCCTTGAAATGCTCTTGGCTTGGGACCAAGAGAGCAAGCCTGAGAAGAAGCCTTGGAAGGAGCTGCTCCCCCCCACCCCCCAGCTGTGTAGAGGGGCCAAAGAAGGAGCCCACCTAACCGTGCCTGGCCTGGAATGGCGTGCTCTCCCGCTGATTGGGGTGGGCAGGATTGGGGGAAATCCTGCAGGGGAGCAGACAGTCCCAGCCTTTGATCCTGGCGCCTGGTGCCCACAGCTCCAATCCACTGCCCCTGCTGGTCTGCTCTCGGCTCGCATCCTCTGCTCGCGAAGGGAGAGCAAAGAACTGGCCCCTGGGGCACCAAGGGTCGGGAGAGCCGCCCGGGCTTGTCACAGCTTCTACGAGTTCCTAGCCCTATCCACGGCTGGAGGGGAGAGAGGGAGAGATGAAAGAGGAGAGGAAGGGGAGATAGAGACGAGTGGATGGAGACACCGAGACAGAAGAGAGCGGGGGCAGGGTGGGGGAGCTTGAGCTCCCAGACAGGGGAAGGGGGAGGGAGGGGAAGGGACGAGGGCTAGGGGACAGCATGGCAATCCCCCACCTGCTGAAGACTAGAGGAGCTGTTAGATGGTGCTGTGATAAGCACCCCTAGAAATGCCCCCAGGGGCCGGGCATTCCCGGATGATGCCCCCCCACCCCGTGGCAGAGCTGGTTCTGAGGCCCCATTTCTGATTCACCTGGGAGGGGGCTGGACACTATCCGGAAATGCAGAGCCTTGGTGTGTGTGGGGGGGCGGGGGGCGTGCTGAGGCTGCAGTCAGGAGAGAGCTTCCACAGGCTGTTGGCTCCAGCATTGCTAGGTTCCCTTTAGCTGAGTACTCGGCGGGATGGTGGACTCCCCGTGGCTGGCTGATCATCAGTGCGGGTTAGAACTCAAGCCCCGAACCTCAGCCTGGGGTCGGACAGTCCAATACTAGCGTTTCCCAGAGCCACAAAGTTGCTTTCCCTGGCCTCCACCACCCCACCGTGGCACGAAGACGGGAGCTAACCCAGCCGGCTTCCCAGGGTCAGTTAGAGCCTGGAGACTCCACAGGTGCCAGCCCCGGGAGGTGGGAGCAGAGGCTCTCGGTGGCTTTGGGTGAGGTGTTGGTTGCCCGAGAGATACGCGGGAAGCGGGTCGTTCCTTGAAGGGCCGTGTGTTGGCAGGTGCCTCTTCCCACGCATCCTGGAGCCCGAGGCGGGCCCAGGTGCTGTTCCGCGGGTCGGCAACGAGCAGGGGACCGCGTGCGGAGCGGAGGAGGAGGGGACCAGCAGCGGGGAGTGGCCGCGCACGCTGCCGCCGCACAGGGCAGAGGCCTGCGTGGGGATTTCCCCCCACAAACACTGGAAAGTTCCCCAGGGGAGGGGATTCCGGAGTCCTCTGGTCTCCCCTGCCAGGTGTCCTTCCTTCAACACGAGCTTAATGTTCTTCCTCCCGCCTGCGGGTGGCAACGCAGGAGCGGCCCCTGCCCAGGCGGCGGCGGAGCATCCTCTCTCTCCGCAGGCGCCCCGACCTCAGCGTAGGCTGCCTACGGCGGGAAAGGCTTGCTCTCACTCCCAAACCAGCTAGCGAGGGTGGACACGAGGCTCGCCCCCACCCCACCCCCAGCCAGGAAGGGTGGTCTCCCCCGGCTGAGGGAGGGGAAAGGCAGCCGCAGCCGGGTCCCAGGACCTGCAGCAAGAGGTGTGGCACGCGGGGACCCCCGCCCCCCACCTCGGTAGCTGCCCGGAGGTTCCTTTTGAAGTGCGCTCTCTCCAGGAGCTCGGCGGTCAGCGGCCAGCGTAGTCCGAGGCTGCTCCACCGGACCCCCGCCGAGGCACCTCGAAGACAAAGAATTCGGGCCGCCAGGCCCCCCGCCCGCCCTCACGCGGCTGCCAGTCTGTCTTGAGGAAGGAGGAGGAAGTCTCCCATCCACGCACAGACTTTCATTCATTCATTCATTCACTCATTCATTTATTTTTTTTATTTCTGGGACGGCCTCTCCCCACCCATCGCGAGCTGCCGGATGGGGGTTGGGGGCTCAGAACCAGCGCAGCCCAAAGTGGGGATGGAGAAGAGGGAAAACAACTGGCCTCAGGCAGGGGAGGCATCAAGTGCGAAGGTCAAGAGACCTGAAACAGATTCTCAGAATACATAGCGCCAGGGAGAGTGGGAGACTCCAGGGTTTCGGGGGAGGTCCGTGGAGGCCTCTGGGATACCGGACAGCAGAGGGTAGTCTTGGAAGGAGGAGGCTCATGGCTTGGGCCGGCAGAGGCAGGAACAAATGAGACACCACTCCATTTACGCAGGCCCCGTATCCTCCCGAGGTGACGAGGAGGCAGAAGCCTGTGGCCTGCACGGAGGCAGCAGAATAGGGGCACACAAACACCCAAAGGCACGAGGGTGTCTCTCCCAGAGCTCAGCTCCCCCCCCCCGTGCTGCCTGCCTCCCGTGTCCCCCGGAGGGGAGGTGCCGCTAAGAAGGCAAAAGTCAAGTGGCTTTTGGTGGCTTTTGGGTCCTACGCAGCCTGGATCTTTGGGGATCCAACTAAGGAGGCATCCTTGTGAGTGAATTCCCTTTAATCTACTGTGCTTACCTGGGGATCAAGTGTGCTCGGTTTAGGTTTAGGGGCTTAGGGTGCTCCTCTTCTCGGCACCCCAGTGAGTTTCCTGGAGTTACAGGTCCTAGAGACCGCCGGCAGGCTGCACAGGCTGGCCTCTCTGGGAGTGGTCTCTGGGATACCTCAGTGCCTTCGACTCCGGAAGGGGTGTTCTTTCCTGGTCTAGGTGTAACCAGACCTCAAGATGCCAGCTGTCCCCTTAGCCCAGTGAACCTCCAGCAGCAGTCCCAGGACCCGGGGTAATTTGGAAGGGGACACTGAGCACGGGTCCTTCGGAAGAGCTATGAAACGAGAGGCAGGCGACCACCGCTAGCGGAGGCAGCTGCCCCCAGACTTTACTCCCGGTTGGGATGAGGGGATGGAATTTAAACGTCTCACGGGGAATTGTTATCGATAAATGTTGATGAGACAGGACGCCCCGCCTAGATGGTATAGCAACACTAGCTTTCTTTTTCTCTGCCATGAGGGGTCCTAGAGCCCCCGAGCCCCCTCTCTTGTGGGACCTGTTCAACCCCACACCTGCGTTTCTTTGCAGAGTTTCTTCATCCCTATTAGTGCCAAGCTCTACCCTATGGCTCTGGCCCTCTGAGGCCTGAAGCCCTGAGTACTGACATGTACCTGTGGCACATACCAAGCCAGACTGCTATGGTTGTTCTTTACTCTGAAATCAGGAGAACTCTGACAGAACAGGCTCATGATAGCCCTGTCTAAGCATTGGTGACAGGCCTAGAGAGAGTACTGAGGTCTCAGGCAAGAGAGCCCTGGGTTAATGTTCCTTGTGGTCCTTTAAGGCATTTAATGTTCCCTGGAGATCTGGCCACCCCAGCTACTATGCTGGGTTTTGGGTCCATTTTTCTCATGGGAACACCTGCCTTGCCTGGTGGTTTGAGATGAGAGCTTAGCAACCTGGCCGGAAATCACTGTCATCTGGAGGCATTTGAGGCTTGAAGGCCACTCCAGCTACCTGGTACCAGCTTTCTCTCCTCTTTCCCCTTCTCTTTCCTGCCATCAACTTTTCCCACCTTTCACCCAGAACTCTGAACCTCAGGTCTGCAGGCTCCAGCTGCCCAAGGTTCTGTGCCCTAGCTAAGGTCCATTCCTGGCTTTGTCACGAACCTGTCCTGGGGAACGCAGCCAGTCTTCCGTGGCTGACTGTGGAAGGGAGCTGTAGTCTTTCTTGGCTGCCCTGTAAGGGTCTTTTTCTCTGGCTCA